TGTTTGATAAATTGTTTCACTTAGTTTCATCAATTGTTTCTTTAGATATTGGTTGTGCTTGTAATTTTAAAACAATTACTTAAGATGTTTATTGTATTAAGATCTTATTATCATCATTCAATTGAGCATTTGATATTGTAGGTATATCCGAGCCTCCAATAATCAGTTCAGTTTAGACGACTTGTGATCTAGGATATGAATTCCACTTGCTATAGTTTTTGCTTAATTTAAAAAAAAAAAATTTTAAGTAAAATTCTTCTTTGAAAATCTATTCACTCCCTCTAAATAAGTTGTTGTCCTCTAACAAAACTCCAAACAAGCAACCCAGATCCACTAAACCGAGACCCCTGATTCCAAACCTCCAAACAAGCAACCAAATCCCCTAGATCGGGGGTTAAACCCGAAACCCTAGCCTATTCAAATCAAAATTAAATCAACCACCCCAAGCAAATCAAACAATCAATAGGGGGTTGTAGATCATAAATGCAACAACTACACAATAGTGTCAACTAAATAACAAAAAGAGCAAAGAAGGTACCTGGCCGGAGTAACCGACGGTGTAAAATGTAAGTTCTCTGTACCTTTTTCTATCTCTTTCTCTCTTTCTCTTCAGCACCCCCTCTTGCTATTTATCTCTATGCTAATGCTTTTTTTTTGCTTTTTTTTCTTCTGTTTGTACGTAATTATAGGGGTCAAGCTCACTTGATTCAGAGTTTCAATTGAAACTCTGAAGAAGTTATATAGAAATCTTTTGAGCTTTAGTGAGGGTTCTGTGAATATTTTGGAAGAGTTTCTGTAGGATTTATCTTGGTGAAAAAGAGAGGATTGTGAGGTCTATTTATATGATGAATGAGGTTTTGATGAAGTGAGCTTTGATGAGGTGAAATCCATGTGGAATTTTGGTTTCAAACTTGTGAAAGAGGGTAGAAAAGGAATGATACATGCTAATTCTGCTAGAGGAAAAAATGAGCTGGAAAAGAGAAAGGGATAAATCCGTTAAGAATTGAGCAATAACTTTGATTTCGTGGGGTCCCAAAGATTGTACCAGAGTGAATCACTTGGGGGCAATTTGGGATTTGCTTCAATAGGTTTGGATTGTAGTGGCTTTCTAGAAACTATGTGGTCCCTCATGTTGACTGTTGCTTGTACACGAAGTTCCAATGATTTTCAAATTTGCTTTATTAGACTTGATTGAACCTTCAAAATGACATCATTTTTGTGATCTTTGAATTACCTTGTGCTCAATTGTCTTTCTTGAATCTTGCTGGTTGTATGTAATGAGTATATGCTAAGATGTTTTCAACTTGACACAATGTTTGCAACAACCTTGCATTATTCTTGATGCTTAAATGTTTCAATAAATTCTTTAGCATATTTGGTGTATTGCTCATGATGTGTTGATGCTTTTGCCTATTCATGATGATGTTTGTGTATTGAGGAGATGGTGTGTGATGATTGCATAAGTTTGAGCTGACTCGAGCTTCCATTGAATGTGAGCTACAATTTGACTGGCTTTTTCCTTGTAAAGCTTAAACTTGGATTTTGGCATTTGGATACATTGTATTGGCACGATATCGGTTTAAGTGTTTCTTGGACTTTACCTATGTATTGTTTGACATGTTTTTTTTTGTACAGTTTTTAGTAACTGGTATAGACTTGGTTTAGGCATTGTAGCATTTAATGATTTTTGTATGATTTGCAGCCACATAACATGGCAAATTGGCATTGAGGTTGCATGCTTTGAACTGATATTTATGGTATTTGCAGGCTAGTTGCTCATGACGCAGGTATATAACAATTTGTATGATGGCATGATAAAGCTGATGGTTTATATCGGCTATAGCAGGCTGGTAATTAATACAATGTTGGACTGGTGTATGTGTAGCAGGTCTGCAAGCATAGTGGCACAGTTTGGAGGTTCTTTAGATAATACATATGCACATGGTACATGAACGTGCACCCATGATTCATGCATAATTTTGGCAATATGGAATCAAGGCTAGATAACAACAAAAGGGAAATTGAGGAACAGGTCAAGAGTAGCATAAGGGTTAGTGTAAGAACTTGGTCAACTGTTTGACCAAAAAGTCAACAGTTGACCGAAAGTCAACCTTTAGGTCAAACATGGATTTTTGTGTATTTTCAAATCTAAATTCATTTTGTAATGGCCTTTTGTGACGTTGAGTGTAATGACCCTTTTAAATGTACGTTGACTTTCATGTAGCTTGCACTTCAAGTAATAACATTGTGTACTTTTCTCTCTATTTGAATTTGAATCTTGAACGCATTTTGCAAATCCAATCAAATGACTCATCTTGAAAATGTAGATCCAATAGTTATTGTAGCACTAATAGGAATGCAAAGGTGTGAGTAGAAAGTGACTTGGTCAAAAAGTCAAATTCCCATGGTTGTCTCTAATCAAGAGTCAACATTTATCATGTCCCTTCTTCTTGTCCAAGTAACCTTTCATATGATGACCAATAAACCAAAAGCAACTTGTTCCATAAATGAGCATAAAAACCCTAACCATGTAGATCAATAGCACCTATTCGAATGATTTAAATATCTCGTACCCTAAGAGACAATTGGAGAACCAACAACTTCACAAGAATCATCAATAGCCAAAGTGTTAAGGCCACTTGACATTAATGAAACTTTTGAACCAATGCTGCAAATGAATGATTTTTAAATGAAAACTAATGGTTCAGATAAATGTATGTATATGAATCCAAAGTCAAAAGTCAGATGAAATTGAATGATGGGTAGAGTAAATTTGGGGTATGACAACTACCATTTTACTTTAACACCCAAATGCTCTCGAATTGACCATGCACATCCATGTAGTGAATACTCACAAATCCAACTCTACCCCAAAAGGATTTGGCCTTATGAAAGCCAATGTTTATTTCCATAACGAATAAAAATGTTAAAGAGTGTTTTCTAATCAACTTCGTCATGTGTATTTTAACCTTATTATTAGAGGCTCCCCAGATATTCCAAGAGATCATTGTGGCTTCTTTGAAACCTAACATAACTAGTCAAGTTGATGGGGGTGACAAAACAAGTCATGGACACGAGACAATTGACATAACTAAATCCCATTCAATTGGAGTTTCATGTACAACTTCCTCTTTTTGAGTATCACCCTCATCCATAACCCATTGATTATTTCTATCTGACTTACTTGTTGTTGGTTTAAAATGCAGAGTATTGTATCGTGTAATGGTCTCCAAACCTAAATTTAATTTGGGAATGATGAATGTGTATTTATCAGTGGTAGGCGCACCCTTTTATGTTGGCCAGGAATTAAAAGTTGGCTTGGCGCATAAGTCCCCTCTATGTGTTTGTTAATGCGCGCCTGGGCTAGGTTCATTCTTATCAAATCATTTTTTTCTAGAAACTACGTCATGTTGATTGGGTTCAATAGTTTGTTGTCATCGCTTACTTATTTTAAAGAAACATCAATCCCCTTTTTATTTTAAAACTCCTCAAAACTCTATGCGCATTATTAGATAAAGATTTCCCTTGCCATCACTGACTTTTTTGTTGCGTTTTTTCTATGACCACCAACCAATCACCATGAACTGCATTTATTTCTTCATATTCTTTTGCTACAATTCGACATTATCATCACCCACTTCATAGTGTAATTTCGTTAGTCTTTACTAATGAACAACGTCGTTTTCTGGTGGTCCAATCTTTTTGATATTAATCTTTTTGACAATCGACAAAGTCAGACTAATCTCCATGAAAATTCTCGTAAACCTCTCCCTTTAAACATTTTGGGTGTTAGTATCTGTTAATTCTATGTTTTTGTAATTTGCATAAATTTTGATAAAACTAACTTGGTAGAAATATGCTTAATCAGATGTTTCGACTTGCTGGTTCAACATGTCGAATGTGATGTCCTAACCAACAGTATAAGATATCTGGTTTGTTATAGTTATTTTACAGTTTGGATACAGTTGTTTTAAATTACTGGATATTTTGGGAATATTAAGTAATCCTATGTGGAGTTCAAGACTGAAGAATAAGAGATATCTTCTGGATATTAGAAGATTGATTTGTTGAGACATTTTTAGAAAAAAATCTTTGAAGCTCTGTCTTCATAGAGAAGTTTCTGCTGATTTTCTGCAACAGATCAGCTGCGGTTTTGAAGCCCAAATCCAGTCCCATGAAGAACATAAAAGGAAGACTTAGACCTAATACTTTTTAACTAATCCTTGTATAAAACTTTTGTAAATAAAAAAGAAGGATTTATGGTTTTGAGAGTCGTGTACTTTCTTGGGTTGCAAGTCACCCTTTGTATCGGTTTGATACATTGTGGTAGACATTGTTTCTATACATATTCAGAAGCCTTTAGGTAATGAACTATATATTATTGTTGGATGAAGCTTTGAATAAAATCCATGTTTGTTTGTTTGTCAATAGTCTTGGCTGGAATTTATTTTGAAAGGGGTATCTTTTAAGTAGTTTGATGTAGTCACCAGAGGTTGTGATTGTTAGATATCACTGAGGTGATTTAGGGAGTGAGGTGGATTTCTCTTATCTTGGATGGGGTTCTGAGATAAAGAGCATTGAGTAGTTTTGTACCCCAAAAATTTCTCTCTCTTTTCTCAAGACATTTCTCACAAGAAAAATCTTCAATGACTGAAATTTGCACAAGTGTTGACTAGGTCAAATCATCTCCTAAGCACTGAGACCCCAAATTAGGGTTTTTGATTTTCACAAGGAAAATTGGACTTCTAATGCCTCAAATAAATTTCATGGTTCATTAAAGACCTCCAAGAATACTCATGCCAAGTTTCAAGTCTTAGATCACAATTTTGCTCAGTCAATTTATCAGATGACTAAAAATCAGTTGTATTGGGTAAAAAGTCAACAGTGGTCAACCTACAACCAAACTTCAATATTTTTGGCCATATCAATATTTTGAATTCATATTCATCAATTTATCAAGGTTTGATCACAATTCCTCAAAAAAAACATTCAAATCATTAAAAGGGTAAAATGGTCAAAATTAGGGTTTTGACCGGGGATGACCAGTCATTGACTTTTGACCTAACATATGACTTAATGTGTTAAGGTATGATCTCAAGGATTAAAGCATATTATTTTGACCTAATTGCATGACTGAAGTCATTTACCAAGATCAATGGATTGATAGTTGAATTTTGGATCAACTGATGAAAAGTCAACTGATACACAAAAAGTCAAACTTTGACTTTTTATCAACATTGATTTTTAAAGATCAAGATTCATCAAGATACTCAAAAATATCAAATTTGGTCAACAAGAATCAAGAAAGTCAAGAAAGTCCACAAAATGTCAAAGTTTCAAGACTTAGAAAATTTTCTAAGTATATTTTATGCTTGATAAATTCATTACTTCATGACCCTTTTTCACCAAGATGCAAGATGATTCAAAGAAAACTTTCAACATAAAAGTTGTAGATCTTGATGAATTCCACAAATTTGTATTAGAGGGTTGATATCTAAAAAATTCTTAGATTTGAAGATATAAGCCCATGAAGTCATGACATTTTTCATAAAACACTTAGTGAAAATTTTGACAAGTTTCGGCAGATTTTTTACCTAACTTCTTGGCCAATTTTCACTTAGATCCAAGATGATTTAGCCAAAATGGTAAACATGAAGGTTGTATATAATGTTTCAAGTTTTCCAAAATGTCCAATAACTTGAAGAGATCCTGCTTGAACTAAGAGAATCGAAGGCAAGAAGTTGGGCATCCATTCTTGAATTACAAGTCATTTTGATGATGAACACATAACCAAAACCCAAACCTATGCTGCATAATCTTACTTTTCAGACCTTATAACTTGAAAATTGATCCATGATCATATGTTTAAACAACTCATTGAGCCCTTGTCCAAGTGTTTGAACCTTTACCCAAGCTACATTTCCATTTATGGCACAAAGGCACCATTGCTATTCTTGAAAATTTGCTTTAATCACAAAGTCAACTTAAGCTTTGCACGTGTTCCTTCTGCACGAGCTTCATCTACAAGTTCATATCAAACATGTTTAAAGCTTCTAGCCATCCTACAAGCTTTGTACCCTACCTTGAAACCATATTTGTCAAGGTTGCTTCAAAAACAAGTCAAAAATCCATAACATGTGATCTTGTGATTCTGATAATCTCGAGTCCTCAAACCTTTTCCTATATATTGAGACATTATTTACAAGCCAAGGACACGAATTAGAAAGTTGAGAAACTCCCCCAAACTCCCTCAAACTCATAATTGCTCACAAACCTCATTTTTATGCCATTTCTGACCTTACACCTCAAACTCTCATTTCACTCGTGCGTTCTTCCTCAAAATCAATCACAAAGCATCTATATATCATTTAGAACCTAACCAAACACCTGTTACACGAATGTAACACCTCCATCACCATCCTCCATTTTCAAAAATAGCACCTTGCACATTGACTTCTCCGGCATGAATCAGGCACTCTCAGCTCAAAGTAACCTTTTCATTAGCTTCCTAAAGGTCCATTGAAGCTAACCAGATCACCACAACACCTTGAAAATTACTCAAACTCAAAACATGATCTTCATTTTCAAGGTGAGTTTTCTGAACTTCCATCTCTTCATACAAGCATCATTTGGCTTTGATTTTAAAAGATAAAATGTAGACATTATAGCCCTGAAACTAACCATGTCCTTAGAATTCATTTATATTGCCTGAGCATAGAGATTTTTAAGTTGGAACGTTCTCAAAAAACTAGGTCAAATTTGGTACCAAGAAAAATCTGTGTTCATCTTTAATCCATAGATTAAGTTACTTACATATTTGAAATCGTGGTAAAATTTCTAACAAGTTTGATGTTTACAATTTCTGAAATGGTTGAGAAACTAGCAAGATACAAAATTCAAAT